GAGGTACTGTGAAGGCCGAGCAGCTGAAGATGCCTCTAAAGAAATGAGAGAGGAAGTGATATTTACTGCACACCGAGAACTGCTCACCACCTGCTCCAGTGAAGGTTGATGTCTTATACTGGGATAGTCAAGCACCTGTGGCTAGTGTTTTGGTTTGGTTTTTTGGTTGGTTTTTTTTTTTGGCTCACCAAATAACTGCTCCTGTATAATAGCATCAGCATAAAAATGTATTTTTTTAGGACCAAGCCTTTCTATGACTATACGAACTGGAAGAAAGTGGAAGGAAGCATTTTTGGAAATAGTCTCAGTAACATTGACTGTTGGTGTTAGAGGCAGGGTTGCTGCGAGTCTGCTGTCTTCAGATGTAGTGTTGGCACAGAATCTGGGCTGAGGGAGGGTAAAATTCCAGTGCTGTCATCTGCCTTGCTAGCATGTGAGGAAGGAACATTGCTGTGTCTTTTTGGATAACCTGGAGAATAAATACTGCTCTGCTGTTGTTGAACTGGGGCAGAAATTGCAATTAAGCCCCGTTATTTGATTGTTGTTGGAAGAGGGAAGTGCTTTTGTGAGGGGCAGGGGGACACCTAGCCCAAAATGCAGAGATGCTGTGGGTGAAAACATATTGCTGGCTAGGAGGTTTTGAGCCCCTATATGAATTAGTGTGTCATGTTTCCCTCTAGTGGACTAAATAGATAAATACAGTGGAAACTTATCCTACAAAAAGCAATTACCAGGAGTTCAAGGAGAAATTACTTTGAGTAAGAGCCTGAGGGTGCTGTCCAATACCCCACGCATAAGCCTGCATCTGTACAATGAGGCAGTGTATGGTGGTGTTACAACTTGTGGTAACTAGAGCTGGGAGAAAACAGAAGCATGTGAGATTAAAAAACAGAAGCAGTGTGTTACCAAACCTAATTGACCACTGTACTCCGGATACTTTTTGAGTTGCGGTTCACTCTTCCCGGGGGAAGACTGGATCAGCTTGGAGACCATTTTCTTACGTGCAATGAGAGGAGAAATATCTCCAGTTTGAGGCCTACTTAAAAGGAAGTAGAGAGGTGTCTGGTTTTCACTTGGCTTCCCATACATGAGGACACCAGTAGGTGATCACTGTATCTTTGTTTCAGTGGTTCCATTTACTTGGCCTCTGTTCCCTCTGTAACTTCTTCCTTCCAGCTGAAGGAGGATCTGTTGTTCTCTAACAAAGGATTTTCTCCTCTGTTCATCTGCACAGGTCATCTTGAACAACTTCTGAAATGAGCATTACTAAATTGAGAGCCAGTGATGGTTTTTTAGTAGTGAGCAAGTAAACAAACATATCAAACAAGCCCGCATCAGATCATTTGTTCAGCCCGGAACTGTGCAATGGTTAAAGATATTGGTGTCCTGTTTTTGCAGCATGTTGATGCTTAATACCGGTACATCTACCAAAACATGAAGGCTAAAACCAAAGGAAAGAAGCAAAGGCATACTGTTGACAAAGAAGCATTTTCTGAGGAGTCTGCAATGAGAAAAAAAGAGCTGGTGAAATGTTTGCGACACAAAGAAAGGAGGAATGGGGGAAACAAGGAGAGCAGCAAGATCACTACAGCCAGAGCCAAGCATCCTTGGAGCAATAAGGACAGGCGTTTGAGGAGACTGGAAAGCAATGAGCGGGAGAGGCAGAGAATGCACAAGCTCAACAACGCGTTCCAGGCTTTGCGGGAGGTGATCCCTCATGTGAGAGCGGAGAATAAACTTTCCAAAATAGAGACTCTCACACTGGCCAAAAATTACATTAAATCCTTGACGTCCATTATACTCAGTATGTCCAACGGACACTTGCCAGCAGCAGAAGGGATGGGGGAAACCTGGGTGTCCAAATTGTACCAGCATTATCAACAACACGGGGATGGTGATCATGAGGAACATCTACAAAAATATTCCACATAGATTCACAGCTTCAGCCAAAACACCTACAGTTAGCTGCTACCATGATTCTTTTTCCTTCTTGCATGATAATACACGTCAGTACATAGAGCTTTTAAGAGACTATTTTTGCCTCCAGCTATCCTCTATTTTTTCTTAAAAAGACAAAACCAGGTAACTCTCATGGCTATAGCTTATATGGCACATAAAAAATTATCTTAAGAATTTTTCAGAGCTTAATGGATATATTTGTGTGGTGCATCGGGGCCTGGAAACTTATCCTGTGATGTTGTAGTTGACTTGAAAGTGAAGATTTAGTAACTTCTGAAAATTACTCTCCTTGGGAGGGTGGCGAGTTGAGGCCTGTGTCACCTGAGTTTGTTAGAGCTTGTTGAGAGTCTTGGCTGCAGCGCAGCTCACTGCCCTTTCGGTGACTCCGTTCTTATCTGTCCTGCCACAGAGGGAATTAAATCTGATGGTAACCTTTGACTGACTTGGTGAGTGAAGTGGCATGTATAGGAAATTGGCCACCAAATCTCAGTACTTATCGTGGGTGGTTTGGATCTGCTCTGGTAGTTTTGAACCTTGCAAAGCATAAAAACTTGTGAAGTACTTCCTAATGTTAACATCTACAAAGCTTTCTTGGATTGTAAGCTCTCTAGAGCAAAGATGTTTTCTGGTCTGTTTCCAGAGCATCCAGCCTCATGGAGTTTTTCTTTAGTGGGTCTCTGGGTGCCATTGTAATACAAATATTAAATAAGGGACAAATGACTTATTTTTGCCAAAACCATGATAAATGTGTTTCTAGTATAGTCATAAGTAAGTTAGACAATGATCTATGTAATTACAAATTGTTTGCTAATGAAGCCTGTAATGTGATCAGGATTCTTTCTGGGTTAGTGCTAGATTCTGGTATTATAAAACACAATAAATGAAGCAGGAGCTATTCAAAAAAGGAAAATGAGCTTTTTTTCTTCATCTTACTGTAAAAACTTTTATGTGGCTGAGGAGCTCTCATTTCCTCTTGTATCCTCATACCCAAAGAACAAGCTGAGGTGCCCTCAGCTGGAACTGTGTTGCCTGTGGAGCCCCTGTGTCACAGCTCTTCTACCCCATCCCCGAAGTCCTGTGCTGGCAGGAGGGCTGCCGCTCCGTGGTGTCGATCTGGTGTCTCACGCACCAGCAGGACCCGTAACAGTATGTGCCGTGCTCCTTCTCCCTGCAAAGCAGGGCTACCTGAGGAGGAACGGCGGCCAAGGAGGGATTTATCAGACCCATCACGGACGGGTTGTGCTGCACTGCATAGTTTGTAATGTGCTATTTATTTTGCTCCAGCAGAGCTGATGATAGCGCGACAATTTCATTTGGACTAAAAGGTAAGGTTTCTCAGTCAGGCTGGTAAGGTATGTGAGTTTTTTCTCCACCATAGCGATCTGCAGGTATGATGTACAACAATGTAATGTTTTGTATGTTTGGTTGCCTTACTGAAGAGATAAATTATTTGGATTGTGCCTTCACTTGGGATTTTTGTAGTTTCCAAACTCTTTTCATGCTAAAATAGTTGTGATTAGCCTTCCTAGTGCTCGAGTGTTAACGGAATTATTAACCTGGTCCCTCATAGGTATGGCTTGCCATAGGAGTGCTGTATCTTACTTCATTTGACAGCTGCTCCTTATTGGTGTAAAGCCCTTAATGTATTTATATGTTGTATGATAGCAATGGGAGAAATCAGTAATGCCAAGGCATTTTCTTTCAGTTGCTCTACTTAGCATCTCTTCAATACCAGCTTGATGGATTTTATTTGGTCATTTCTCACCGCGTGGGTCAATGCAAACAGGATCCACTGGGCTGGAACATGTCCAGAGGAGAGCAACCAAGCTGGTGAGGGGTCTGGAACACAAGTCATACTAGGAGCGGCTGAGGGAACTGAGGGTGTTTAGTCTGGAGAAGAGGAGGCTGAGGGGAGACCTGATCGCCCTCTACAGCTACCTGAAAGGAGGCTGTAGGGAGGTGGGGGTCGACCTCTTCTCCCTGGTAACAGATGATAGGACGAGGGGGAATGGTTTGAAGCTGCACCAGGGCAGGTTAAGGCTAGATATTAGGAAGAACTTCTTCACCGAAAGGGTTGTCAGGCTCTGGAATGGGCTGCCCGGGGAGGTGGTCGAGTCCCCATCCCTGGAGGTATTTAAAAGAAGGATAGATGAGGTGCTTAGGGACATGGTTTAGTGGTGGGATGGCAGGGTTAGGTTAAAGGTTGGACTCGATGATCTCAAAGGTCTTTTCCAACCAAAGTGATTCTAATATTCTATGATTTGTAACAACAGGCAGTTACGTGGAATGTGAGAGGTGTGTTGTAGCACAACAGGCTGCTCGGACTGTGCGTGCAGTGGTATCTGGCTGTAACCCGCTGCCAGGCTGCAGGGCGAAGGCGAGTGTGCATACGTGCACCGCCTCAAGCACCCACCATGTCTGTGGAGGCACATGTCACGTAAATGGTTGTGCCCGGACAACATGGGTTTGGGTATGGAAGTGCATTAATTGGATACTTGCAGTTTTACCAAGTGATGCTGTGCCCCGGCTCCGGGTAGCAGCTTCTGCCCTGCTGGGAGGCCCCGGAGCTTGGAGAACCGAACGGGCCTCGGGCAGGGCCGGGGGTCCTCGCCGTCCC